AATACGGTATGTGACAAAATGGGTAAAATTGTGTATTTTGCAAAGTTTCTTAAATGTAGATGTTTTCTTTGACTTTTTGTATTTGAGTGAGATGGATGTCACAGCCACTTTAAACTTTTTTTTTGTTTGTTTTAAGCTGGTTTAACCTATGAATGTTCAACTCAACAGACAACTTAACATTTTTTTGTTAAAAATTTTCAARCTCTTTATGGTAGCTATCACAAAAACAGAAATGCCAAAAAGATTTTTAGTATTAAAAAGATTTAAGCAGCTCTTTTTTTTTTTATTCCAGCCACTGGGTCAAAGGATAGAAATCCTGTAGGAAGTAGTTTATCTTTTAAAACACAAAGYTGTAAAAATCTGACCATCTTTACTGATGTCTGTCACTCTGTGGTAAGAAATGATGGGATGTTTACTGTACAGGTTTCTGACTGTTTACTTTGTTTTCTCCAGCRTCTGCAGACTACCAGCCAAAACCAGAAGTCAACCTGCCAAGTAAGACTGAAAATGGTCAAACCAACGTCAGTGAAAGGTAAAAATAACTTTTTTCTATTCGCTCACATTCATGCTAAACCACAACAAACTGTAAAACTTGTGCAGCAGGAAACAAAACTGGCAACTGGCYGTCAAATAAATTTAGTGTTTCTGTGAACCTCAGTGGAAAACAAAGGAGCTGCAGGGATCAGGCCCACAGTAAACACTTGTAAACACATAAGACAATGATTTGGTCTCTTAAATAGTTTACCCCCAGAAGTGTGTTCAAAAACAAAAATGGAGATTAAACTCTGTTAATTGGACAGCGGTGGAGTGACTCACCCTGTTCTGTGAGTCATTCTGACAAATCATAACCATCTCTTCTGCTGTATTTCCCTCATCAACCAGCCTCACAGTTGTAAATGGAGTCCAGCCCATGAGACATGAGAATGGTCTGTCTCCTAAAGGAGACCACCTCGAGGATTTCATCCACCTCACAAATCAGGGCAACGCCACGAACGGAGCCCGGGACAACTCTGAGGGCGGCATGAGCACAAAGCCCATCCTSTCCTTTGAGAACGAGGAGTCATTTCTGAAAAAAGCGGGCCCCATGAAGCCTCAGCATGTTGCAGGTACAGAATTATACACACATTAGAAACACAGAGGTTGGGTTTTCATGCAGTTATYTCAGTAAAAAACAGAATCAGTTGTCTGTCTATATTGTGTCTAGTATTGTGTATCGTAGGGCTTTTTGACCTCGGAGCCCAATTTATTGAATATAAAGTGGCACGAGGCCCAGTCACACTTTACCAATGTATTGATCAAAATGATAATTATTCTAAATCTTGGTTTATTTTTTATTGTATTTACATTATAACTAAATTAAATACACTTACATTTTAAAAGTAAAACTCCTGTCAAATAATCACAAGACATGATCGTGACAAACAATTTAGTAACCTGCCCATAAC